CATGAGTTCAAGGCCAGCCTGAACTACACAGAAAGATCCTGACTCAAAAAACAAAAACCAAAATAAAACAAAAAAAAAGCTCTAGTCAAATGTCTAACAGGTATCTCAAATATATCTAAAATCAAACCCAGTTTTTTTACCACCCCATCTCAGCCTCCTTCCAAAAAATGATCCTTTTACAGTTTCCATAATCTTATTCAGTGGCGATTCCATCTTTTCAGTTACTCTATACCCAAAATCCTTCGGGTCATCCATAGCACCTTCTCTGATTCTGTGTCTAACCCATCAAGAAATGTTTGAGGTTCTACCTTCAAGATATATACAGAATATGCTTAAGTCACTTTAAGCTAGTGGCAGTGGGGTTCAGGTAGAGATTATATTAAAATTTTTAAATAGGTTTTCACTTCCAATGTTACTAACCAAGATTCAAGCTACCTCCAGTGCTTGCCTAGATTACTGCAACAGCTTCCTAAATAGTCTTACTGCTTCCACCTTTGCTCCCTTTGCAGCAGCTTCTCAAATATTAACCTTCCTTTAAGACACAATACTGTAGATTGTGTCGATCCTCTGCTCAAAAGTAAACAAAATTAAAAAAAAAAAACCTAAATGAAACTGAAAACTGAAGTTCTTACCATGCTCCACAGTCTACAAGGCCTCACACAAGATGGTCCCTTGTTACTTCTCTTGCTGCCTCTCTACCACTCTCACCCTTGCTCCATCCAGTCCAGGCCTACTGGCCTTGCTATTTCTAGAGCACTCTGGACATGCTCATCACTCTGAGTCTGGGCTCTTACTGATTCTTCTGTCTGGAATGTTCTTCCCTCAGATATCTCCTCCACAGCTCACACCTTCACTTTTCTCCTATTGATCAACTGTTACCTTGCAAGTGAGATCTTCATCAATAACTCTATTTAAAACTTCAGTCTGGTTGGGGAATGAAACTCAGTGGGAAAGCACTTGCCTAGAGCACACTAGGCCTTGGATTCAATCCTCAGTACTGAGAAAAAAATAAATTAAAATCTGCCCTCATTCTAGGCATCCTTTATTTTCTTCTATCTAAAATTAATTTATTATCTATCTACTCTCAACAAAGGAAAAGAAAGTTTTTTGTCTGTTCTGTTCACTATGATATCTCCAGGGCTTCTAACAGATAGTAGATATTCATGAAACATTTATTGGAAAAAATGAATAAATCAAAAATTAGTACATAAAAACCAAATTAAGTTCTGTACCCTATTAAAATACTGAAAAGAAATTTAATTTTTCACCATCCCTAAGTTTCTACATTTCTTTATTCCACAGAAGCTGTTCAGAATGTACACTGTGGCAAATACCATTTTTCATTTAAATCCAAATTTTATTACTTTTTACTCTAACAAGAAATAAAATCTGTCTTCTAATCTATGATTTTTTTAGAACTAGAATAAATACTAAACATCTAAATAGCAAATAAGTCTATTTAATGTGTAAACATACAGATATCTGTTTATTTAATCTTCATATAAAATAACAACTCTGGCTAGGATTAAGATCAGTTCTCTATTAGGGCTGGGGATTTAGCTCAGCGGTTCCAGCACCTGCCTCACAAGCGTAAGGTCCCGAGTTCGATCCCCCGTACCAAAAAAAAAAAAAAAAAGACAAGTTCTCTATTAAAGAGAAAAGATCAGGGCAAAACTTTCAAGGTCATCATAAACAAAGAAAATCTGAGATACAATAACAACCAAAAGAAGGTGAAGACAAGACAACTGAATGTAATGTGGCATCCAGATGGGAACCTGGAACTGCAAAACGACATTACATGAAAACTAAGGAAGTTTGAATCAACTACAGACTTTAGTTAACAATAATGTATCATACAGCTACAAATGAACTATGTTGACATAAGATGTTAATAGGGGAAACTGTGTTACAAGAGTAAATGAGACCTCTATACTGTCTTTGAGTAAGGGGGAATTTAAGAACAGATGGGTTGTCAAGTAAGCATGATACTCTTTTAGTGTAAAACCTACGCAAATCAAAGAATATTATGCTCAAAATTTATAATCAATGTAAGCACAGAATATATCATTAACAACTTAGTAATACAAAATAAAAGAAAGATTCCCTTCTACACATGAATCACAGTTCTGGTTCAGCTATCATGCAAGAAAGCTAGTAAAATAAGGATACAACAATTATATTCACTTGGAAGAGATCTTTTCAAAGGCCAAGGGTGTACATATGTATATCATTTAATACTTTTATTCCACTTTCTGTTAAATTCAAAAACGGGCTAAAGTCAAAATACCAAATTAGAGAAAGAGAAAGAGAAAGAGAAAGAGGAAGAGGAAGAGGGAGAGAGAGAGAGAGAGAGGGAGAGGGGAGGGAGAGGGAGAGAGAGAGGGGGGGAGAGAGAGAGAGAGAGAGAAAGAGAGAAAGAAAGAGAGAAAGAGAAAGAGAAAGAGAAAGAGAAGAGACAGGCAGGTAGCAAGTATGAGAACAATGGTTCAGCAAAGAAATACTTAGATTCAAATTGACAGAAGCTGACATCTTAAACAAAATCAATGACTAAGTCACCTATAAAAATGATTAGGAAAACTGAAAGATACTAAACAAGATTAAATTAAAGCTAAAGTATAATTTTTAAAAAGTAGAACAAAGCTTGGGTATCACTTTGAATTTTTTTTAAAGTTAAGAAAAACTTCAACACTAATTAATTACAATACCCCTAGAACAGTGAGAGATACTAGCATAATATATAGCAGAAGAAATGATTTTTTAAAAATAGGTTTTAAGCTTCTTAGAATCAAAAACCATATTATTGTCATCTCTTTATTCCCCAGGGTGCCTGCACATAAGTCATTCAACACATTTTTTACATGAATGATTTATTTATATTATAACTAAATGTTGACTCTCCCTAAAAGAATATCCAAAAGCAGCGCCACAAGAACCCAAAGCACAGAGACCATAATGGTTTTCTATAATTACAATATGACATTGGAAGGAAAAAATTTATTTGGGTTTCAGAAGTTTCTAAGGAAACTAAGTTTTTTAAATTCTTGAAACAACTTATGTTGCCTAAATATGAAAAATTCTTAAGAATTTTTAGTAAAGGGCAGCATAAAAGTTTGATTTTTTTAATATAAACTTATTTTAAGCAACAGCAATACCTTTCTGTTTTGTTTTTGGGTCATTTTGTTTTGTTTTGTTTTTTTGAAACAGGATCTCGCTATACAGTTCAGGCTGGGCTTGAACTCACTATGTAGCCCAGGCTGGCCTCAACTCACAGCAATCCTCCTGCCTCAGCTTCCCAAGTGCTGGGACTACAAGTGTGCACCACCACACCTGGCAGCAATAGCTTTCTGCAAAATATTACATTTTAAAAATATATTCATTAAGGTTATTTTTCTTTGCACCAAGTATTATATATTTTGAAGTGATTACTATAGTCACGCTAATTGACACATCTATTATCTTATAGTTACCATTTTTCAATTTGCAGTTAAGAACACTTATGATCTACTCTTTCTGCTTATTTCAAGTATATTATACATTACTGCTAACTAGAGTCACCACATTGCACATTAGATTTCTAGAAGTCACATTTATCTACATAACTGAAACTTTGTACCCTCTGACCAATATGTTCCCATTTTCCCCACTCCTTTTCAACCCTGGAAACAACCATTCTACTCTCTGCATCTATGAATTCAATTGAAAAATAGTACCCAATATACAAAAATGTTTTAGAAATTATAGAAGCTTGGTCTATTGGCCAAAACTTTTCTATAATATATTAAAATAAGCAATAACAGTAGAAAATTTTATGAAAAATAAAAATGTCATTCCAAGTATAAATATAATTTATTCTAATCACTTATAATTTAATAATATATTATAATCACTTGGTTTTATCAAACAATCTTTAAAAAAGCACAGGCTAATAACATCTATAACTAAAATCCTGCTTAAGGATGACTGGGGTAGATGGTATTCTTTCCACACAGCCTGCCAACCAGAAAATCTAAAACTATGTCTTATTTAATATCCATTGCCTTTTGAATATTCATAGAAAGATTTATTTTTCAAAGTTCTAAATGTCATCATAACTTTTCAAACCAGGCTATAATTCTCATGAGTTGCAAGAATGGAAGTTATATATTTAAAAGTAGTTAAGTTCTACATTGCAATAAAAGCCTTACAAATTCTATTATTAGATTCTAGAGAAAAGAACAAAGATGAAAACCAATACAAACTCAATATTGTCAATCTTGGAAATATTTTATGTAACCACTTCTAAAATCTTACATAATATTGAATAATGTAATACTGATGGCTAATAACATGATAATACAACTTGAAAAGAGTATTTTGTAGTAGCGATTTTATTTTCATTTCTAAATTATTTTATTCTTTTTCTAAATAAAGGTGTTGAGAAATGGGCCCGGGATTTAGCTCAGTGGCACCGCGCCTGCCTCACAAGCTCAAGGTTGTGAGTTAGACCCCCGGTACCAAGAAAAAAAAAGTGTTGATAAAAAACTTTAGATTTGACAACTTCATCATATTCTCCAAGAATAAATCATAGGTCTGGGGTGCAACTCAGCAGTAGTATTTGTCTAGCATGACCAAGGCCCCTAAGTTTGATTCCCAAGACTAATGAAGTAAAATAAATCATAAAATGTAAGAGTTTTCATAAGATATTCAAGAGATTATTATTTGAAAGGGAAGAAATCTTACAAAATATTGATAAAATTACATAAATTTCAAAAATTAAAGCTAACTACATATTTTAATTATATACTTTAAGCAATTATTCAGTATTCTACTTATTAACATGTTTCTATAAGATTAAAATGAAATAAAATTATTGCCATCTATCCTAAATGATATCTCAAATTACCAAGTTAACATAAAAGCATTCTAAATAACTTTTTACACACCACCAACACACTTGGGCACTCACTTGGGTAAATATGGATCTTCCCAAAAGCAGCAGCAGTTTTTACAAAGTTATTTACCTTGTCCAGGTCTTGCAGTCACAGCTGCTCCGGCAGATGGCGGCTCCAACTCCTGTTGATTACAATAATGTTACTACAGTGGCCTAACACAAGCAGTTCATAATAAAATAGCAGTGACATCACAGTCTTACCTTTGCTTTCTTCGAATCTGGATCAAACCTTTCAAGAATTAATTTAGCTGCCTTATAAGTTTCTTTTTCCATGACTTCTTCAAGCTAGAAACAAAAATCTCCATAAATTGTCATGTTTTAAACAAACACACACACACACACACAAACAGACACACATACACAGCACACAACTTATTTTTCTAAGTACCGGTCTTAAAATAAAGGGAGCAAAAGCCTTCCTCCCTCTGTTTTTCCCCCACTTAGGTGCAGCACAAAATATACGCAGGCAGAATGGAAGACTTCCTCCAATCAAATAATTAAAATCTAGGGCCGGGGATTTAGCTCAGTGGTTTCAACGCCTGCTATGCAAGCGCAAGGACCCGAGTTCGATCCCCGGTACCAAAAAAAAAAAAGTAACAATAATAATAATTAAAATCTAGATTTTAAAATGGCTTCTAACCTCTAATATGTTACTTGTATTTAACAGCTTTACTGGAAGGAAATACCAAATATTGCTAATTGTTTACATATAATGAGAAGAATAATTACATGCACCAACTTCAATAATGGAATGTGCAAAAATCTATCAGCCATCATTATTGGAAGTTATTAGACATGACAAGCAAATGACAGGCAATTCCTCAGATTTATTTCCTCATAGCACTTAATGCTATTAATTTAAAGAAAGTCGTTAGCCAAGAGCTTTACAAAATAAAATCTCTGGGCCAATTAAGTGTTGTCAGCATCGATTTTAGATTATTTATTAGCAGAAGCAATTAGCTTGCTGCAAATACAGTGAAAACTCACTCACTGGGAGAACAGCCATGGAATTTGCTCAAATGACTTTAAAAGGTAAAGCCCTCCCCAGGCCACAGCAACTCCACCACTGCCCTTTTTTTCACACTTAGATTTAAACAGCTTTAGAGGAAAACAACTGAACATAGACTTTAAGTAGAAATTTTACTGAATTCTACGCTTACACTAGGGCCTGTAATTAAAACACTTCATTATTATAGCATTTTATTTACCATGCACTCAAATCACTTTATAGCTTAATATATGGGTTTAATTTTTAAAGTAATCACCAATAAAGTATGATTTTAGCAGTTATAGCCCAATATCAGAAAAAAATTGAACTTTAGTACAAAACAGTCATAGTTATGACAAATACCTAATATGTAAGACAAAATGCTTTTGGAAAAATTGGAGCAGGAACTTTTCCTTCTCAGTGACCACTAATAACCACTTAAATTCATTAAATGTCATATTCATTCCAAAAGATACTTATTTTAAAATGCAACCCAGGGCATGTTTATTGAATTAAAACACAGCTAAAAATACACTGCCACAATAGTAGTTAATACATTCCTCATTAAACACTCAATTCAATATTTAAGAAGCTCAGAGCTTAGACGAATGATTAACCTTAGTTTAGGGAAACTAAAGTGCTTTCCTAATTATTTTAAAATTATGATAAATTCTCAAGACAAGCAAGTTGTATTATCTAATAAAAAAAATAAATCTTTGTAATTTCACAGTATGGAAAAAACTAGGACTGCTGGTAGAGAGAGAGTGTAATAGAATATATCCCTAAATCAACATTATCTACATGGAATATCAAAGAACCAAATCTCTGATCTCTACAAATTAGATTTTTGGTGTTTTAAACCAGTGTTGTACAACACAGCTTTATGTAATGATGGAAATGTTCTACACTGCCACCAATAGAATTCATTAAGCCAGATATGATAAGTAAACACTTAAATATTGTTTGTGTGACTGAGAAACTGAGTTTCTAGTTTTGTTTCATTTTAAGTAATGTAAATTTAAATAGTATCATAGTGCTAGTGGTTACTGATTTAGACAAAACAGGTCTAGATAAAAACTACTGCTCTAAATTTAAAAAGACTAGATACAATTGTGACCTTTAAAATAACATACAAAACTCAGAACCAAAATGCCACTTCAACAAATGACTGTAACTCCTGGTACATTATTCAATGAGTATTTATGTGTGTGCCTATGTTTTATTTATTTATCTTAAATAAAATCATTTTTTAAAGCACCAAAATGTACAAATTCATGCTCATTTTCTTTCGCAGTTATGTCTAACAAAAAGATTCTCATAATAAGCCTAATCCATGCATTTATCTGTACAATGTTTTAAATGAATAGCATGTTTTAAATAGAGTATCAGTGGAAAGAACATGGACTTGAAATTATGAAATCAGAAGAGATCTGGGTTCATGGGCTGGGGCTGTAGTTCAGTAAAGTTCGATCCCCAGCACTGAGGGGAAAAAATGTGGGTTCTAAGCTTATTTCTATTCTTAGAAACACTGAGCAAGTTTGTTAGCCTGTTGCTAGCCTGTTTCTCCTCTTCTACGGAAAATACAGTAATACTTTCTTCATAGCACCATTCTAGAACTTAACTAATGTAGGAGAAAGAGTCCACAACAATGAATAAAATACTGACATAAAATTTTCATTGATACTTCAATTATTCAGAATGGATCTGAAACCTATTAATCCAAGGATTCAGGAATTAAAAATTCGAATTTGTGGGAATTCCTTAAATCACTGAGTTACTATCCTTTTCACAATGTATTTTAAACATACTGATTACTTACATACCGAAGCTTTTACTAAAAGCTTCATGGGCTTTTTTTATTTATAAAGATAAAAAAGGGCTGCCCACTCGGGACCCCTCCTGCCCCTCAGGGGCTTTCCTATCAATAAATATCTTCCTACTTTAAACCTCTGTTATTCCTAGGGGCTCATTCTTCGATTTCTAGAGAACAAGATCTTGGCATATGATATAGTTAACAGGTTGGGAGATATAACATTTCATATTTCATATTTCATATTTCCCACATTACTGGAGGTCCCAGTGAGATACTAATAGGAGGTAAGAATTTACTTTTGACTGTTAAATTGTATTAAGTAACCAAAATTGTCATTTTTGTCAGTCACTGCTTGTGCCTCTTGTAAATGCTTCATACTTTGAGTTCTTATACATTGTTGTTTTGTTAAAATGATGATGTTTCTTTAAAAAAATATTTTACTTTTGTAGACAAAGTTTTGTTTGCTTGATTGACTTGTTAAACAATGCTGAGGAAAAGTAACGTTAGATCGTCATCTAATGGCCTTTACCAATAATTACAAGTAAATTAGAAAATGTACTAAAAATAGGTCTCTGTAAAATCTCGTTTTAAGTTGAAAATATACATGCCTTTGATAAAATGTGGGACCCCAGCTGTCAATTAATAAGGCACTAGGCCGACAGCCGCTCTTAAGACTTGGGGGACAGATTTCACTGAGCAGTCTGGCCCAATCCTCCTCTATACTCTAGAGAAAATGTTGAGCCAGCTCTGCCTCAGTTTCCTCTCTGGTGTGATCTTCCACTGGTGGGGAGGTAAATTTTGCTCTTGAGATTCCCCACTCTCGCCTTTCCAGGCTGACAGTAATGGCTCAGGGGCAAGTTGTCTCAATAACTCACCAAGAGCATGAGAAGAAAAGACCTCCTTTCCTGGTCTCATTTCCAATCTTTCCTGCCAATCTTATACTCTCCTTTGTAAAGGCATGCATGTAAAGTCAGAAAGTATCTCTAAAGTACTCAGTGTCTTTCTCTTAAGAACCTTTAAGTTAAGTCCTTAAAAAATGAGCATTCTTGCCAATGCTGAAGATAGGGAAGTCATTTTCAATCAGGGAACATACACCGTCTCTGGGTTAGATGAGACATAATGGTTTTGTCTGTCCAGGAGAGCACAGAAACTCGATGTCTCCACTTAGTGCTCTGGGCAACAGTCTTCCTTGGGAGACTGACTGCACCTGAGACCCTGTGGAAAGAACCTACTTCTGGGTGAAACTAAAAGGAGCTATTACCATAAGCACAACACTTAAGGGACCAAAACACATTTAGTTTAAGGGAGAATCTTCTCTCTCTTCATAGGTCTGGCTCTTATCATTTATGTATGAGAAAACACTTTGGCTAATAAATTGTAGACTAAATGCTAGCAAGACAGGCAGCTAGATTCCTTTCAGGAGACAGATCTATGATTGTGTGGAACTAGTGAAAACTGGAGTGACAACTGAGAGGTCGTGGTCAGGGCTACTCTCTGGCAGATGCTTGAAGGTCCCCCAGTGGAAACCGGCTCCCAATAGCCCAAATGGGTAATCAGTAGAAAAATCTCCACATAACTATTGTCCCCTAAAACTGGACTCCTCAATGAGGTGAAGGTAACCCTTTCTGTGATCATCACATATCCTCTGTCTCAGAGTGACCTGAAATGATGCTGGTAGGGCCCTTTCTCAAGCCTCCATTAAGAGTTGAGCTATAGGATGGGACTGTTCTCTCTCTGCTAGTAAGATAGACATAAATAGAAAATAGTAACTCAGTAGAGGTTGTTTGACAAATCTTTAATAGGCCAGAAACTCTGAAGCTCTTGGGAATTAACTTTAGAACTCTTTGGCTGCTTTACTACTAGACTGCACCTCTCTAGGAGGCCTTACATGGAACAGCTAACAGAGAAATGGTTTGCATTTGTGCTTTGCTACCTAGGGTTAAAAGGGATCTCAACCAGCTTTTCCCTTCTTCTATGTGCTTGTGGAAACCTGATGAATGTGCCTTGTGAACTCTGAACAATGTGTAGTCTTCGTCTTGCTGCTGGAGGTTATCTAGGTGATCAGATAGCACAGCTGTCTTGGCAGTTTTCTTTGCCAGTTTTCTTCTAAGGCAAAGAACCCCTGAGGGTTTTGTCTGCTTCTGTCTCTAAAAAGCGATCTCTTTTGCAGGAAAAAGGCACAGCCCTTTAATCTATCTGCCTTAGTCTCTCTCAAAGATTTAGAAAATAGTAACTTACATACTTTTGATTATTGGTTTGGCTAACGATGTTTCCTTCAAAAAGACATGATTTTACAACTAAAATCAATTGTATCTTGGGCTTTTGAAATTCATACGAGAGTAAAAACACAAGTTCCCTGGGGAAAGTAGGATTGCATGCTGGGGAAGGGTGGCTACTCCAGTCCAATTTACCTTCTGGCCTCTCTCCAGACAGCAGTCACTTGCCATGGAGCTGTGATCCTAGAGGACGCTCTAGGAGCATAAG